GAATTATCCTTCAATCTGGGGCAAGTACACAATAGTTTAAAAAGACTCATTCTGTAACGGTAGATGAGCATGATTCTAATCTTCCAAATCCTAGACTTTCAAAACAAAACCGCCTGTCTTCCTACTTTTGCCTCCCATTCTGCATTATGTCCATGTCTCCAATGGTCAACACAATGAATTTCAGGTGATCACACTGGAAGTGTAGAGGGCAGGAATGCAGAGGAAAGTTTGAAGATGAAAAATATATACTCACCTGGAAATGCATTAGAATAGAAGAATGATTCGTCTAATGCATCATGAGGGAGATTTGGGCTTTGAGTTATTTTTACACAAATAATAGTGAATTTACAACAGTTTATCTACAAGCTTTAGTCAGCCTTTTAAGTGCAATGAATAACAAGAATCATAGGACATTTCTAAAGTCACAATGCACAGCCTTGGAATGTGAAGAACAGAAGAGTGTTAATCCAAGATGCAGGGCTGGGGATTTAGCTCAGTGGCACAGCTCCTGCCTGGCAAGCACAAGGTCATGAGTTCGATTTCCGGTACCAGAAAAAACAACAACAACAACAAAAATGAAAGCACATAATCCAGGATGCATTAGCATTACAGTGGTCACCAGTGTGCATCAGAGACACCTGCCAACCTGTGGAAGCAAACAGAACTCTAAACCACATTCGAACCTACACAATCAGGTTATTCAAAAAAGTGGAGCGTAGAACCCGCAGTAGGATCTCCAGGTGATTCTACATCTCAACACTGATATGTGCATTGCTTATCAACTAACCTGAGTTCTGGTCAAAGTATACATTGCATTGATCAGTATGAAGAATTCCCTCCATCTATCAGTCTATGGATCTACTGATATAGAAAGAGATCCTTCAAACTAAATCTTTGTTTTAGTTGAGATAAAAGCTATCACTATATCTGCACTGATCTGAAAAGAAGCAGAAAGCAAAGAAAATGCACCCAAATATTTCAGTGTCATCCAGTGTTCTTGGCTTTGTAGTCTGCTCAGAAATAAACAATAACCAGAGTGGATCTGGTTAATCCACTATAGTCTGATCATTAAAACCATTAAGATCTATTCTGCTGAAAGAACCAACACATATACTCATGGTCAAGACTGAAGATGCCTCCTAACAGCCTTCCTTCACAGCAGGGCTCTATGGAGCAGAGTACATTAGCAGAAACACTCAAGAAGGCTACATTGCCCAGACTCCCTTGCAGCTTTGTGTGACCATATGACTAAATTCTGCCTGACTATGTGTAAATTTAATTGGTGTGAAGACACAGAAGTCTCCATAAAAGAAAAGAGATTCACAGCTCCCATTTCTCATCCTCTATTCAGATGCCTGGAAGGTGCATGTAATGGCCAGAGCTCCAGCAACCATGTAGACCAAAATAATCAAAGGCCATACCCTAGGAGATTAGAGATCTAGGAAAAACTTGATCCCTGATGGCTTTGTGCCTAGTTAAAAGCTTTCTTTACATCGGAAAAAAGCCTTTCACATATTTTTTGGTATAAACTACTTGGTACTGCCACATGCAGCTGGACCTAAATTAAAACACTATAAAAGAAAAATCTACTTGTCCTACATGATTGAAAGTATGAAGTATTTCAATCATGATTAGTTTAAAACAATTTATAAGTGACCAAATATCTTAAGGCATGTATTCATACTCTGTGCCTCTTTTAAAATGATGCCAGCCAAGTACTAGTGAGTGTTAAGAGCCTGTTTCTTCATGTTTGCGTTTTCACAGTAGGACAAGTGGCAGATACAACATCACAGAAATGGAGACCACAGACTAGAAAGGACTTCAAGCCCCGCTCCTACTGGCAATCAGAAGCTGGCTTGGCAACAAGAGATCAGTGCAGGGTTGCAACATGCTACTGTAAATGTACAGCCCATGAGCCAAAATGGTATTCAGCAATATTTCATTTGGCCTATTCAATACTCTCTACAAATGTCAGTTTTGAATCCTTAAAGTGGACAGGCATCTTCCATTCCCCACAAGCCCTCACCCCCTGCTGGTGGACAAATGCTCGCTTGCTTCACTTCTTTACACTACCTGCCCAGCCTCTGAAAGCGGGGAAGGTTACAGTACCTGGAAATAGCGTAATACATTTATGTACCTTCCTTCTCTCCTTAGCTCCTCTATTGATGGCTACAGTGATTCACACCCAGGATTGCTTTCCAAGATCAAATACGCCTACTTGTAATACCAAGAATGTAGATAGCTCCCCAGATTTAGACTTTTATTTAAGAATATATAATTTACTATAAACAAGCTAGTATTTTTTTATACAAAAAAATAAACGTAGAACTTCCCAAAGCCCCCACACACACACATTCTCCATACACACAAACATCTTTAAAAACATTTTTGAAAAGGCTAATTTTGTTAATGCTGTTAATTTTGTCATGCTGATTCTTTGATTTTTGCTTAGTTTTAACTAGTCAAGCCAACTTCTAGACTTTCTGCTTTCAGTTTGGTATGAATTTTTAAA